GAAACTGCAGAACAGAGAGTTAGGGAATTTGTTTAAGAACTCATACTAGTGAAATATCTCTATTTAAAACAACAAAAAAATCTGCTATAGAGTTGATTCTGACTCAGAGTGACTCGGTGCAGGATTTCTGAGACTGTAAAGAGTCCAGGTGTGCGCTGTGGGCTAATGCATCAGACTGCAAAGTCATTTGAACTGCAAGGTCGATGGTTCAAGCTCACCAGCTGATCTTTGGAAACCCTATACAGGGTCGCTATGGGTCAGAATCTACTCGACAGCACTTAACAACAAGAACAGCTCTTTAATGGAGCAGACACCCTTATCTTCATCCTGAGCTGCTGTTGGTCGGTTTGAACGGCCAACTTTGTAATTGGCAGTCTAGTGCTTAACCCACCTACCAAGTTTCCAGACATGGGAGTTACAAACGCAGATCTGTTTGATTCTAAAACTCAAATTCAAAACTATTATGTGGGTCCATCTGTGAAGACCTCCTCATGAGAACATACTTTTTACAAGCAATCTCCTTCATCCCTCCCCAGAAGATAAGAGGAAACGAGAAGATGTGTTTGGGGTGGAGCTGAAATTGCTGCTTCACAGATGTAAACTGCCCAGGATGCTATAAAGCCCCTCGGATCTTTAGCACAAACAGTAGTTCCATGTGTTTCCTGCTCCACTGTCCTCTGCCCACAGGAGGAAAAGCAAGACTTCCAGAAGGATGTGCCTTCAGACAGAAGCAGCACTAAAGGCACCCCGAATCAGGATGAGTGGGAAACCAGCCCAATAAACACGTTGGATACATTTCTTTAAAAGTTACTATATAGTATTGACTTTACATGATACTGATTATCTCCTAACCAAAGGCCTTAAAGATAGAATTTATTCATTTGTAAAATTGGTTTTCAAATAAGCTCATTTTCATGAGAATCTGAGATGCCCTATAAAACTTAAGTGTTTTAGGGTTCTCTGAAAAAACAGAACCAATGAGACAGATATGCAAATATATTACAATGCAATTGTAATATATCACAATGTATTTATAATATGTTGTATATATGTGTGTATATATATTGTGTTTACCTATGCTTTGCTGACTACGCAAAAGCTTTCGATTGTGTGGATCATGACAAGCTATGGACAACATTGAGAAGTATGAGTATTCCAGAACACTTAATTGTACTTCTGAGAAATCTGTACCTGG